AAAAAAAAAAAAAAAAAAAAAAAAAAAATCAGAACTTTTTCTTACAGTGCTGTGGAAAAGGGAAAATGTAAAACTTCTGAAGCTACCATGCTTATTTTAATTTTTTAATATACTACTCTGGTGAAGCTTGTTCCTGAATTAGTCGATGAATATTTCTTTCCTTTCTCCTGATTACTTTGTGTCTCTGTTTCTGCGAGCGTATTTATTGTTCCATGGTTGTTCCTGTTTACTGAAAGCAACTAGTAAATACTGTACTCAGAGTTCCAGCTGAGAGCTAAACAGATACTATGAAGCCTGCGCTGAATATATGTGTACAAGCCATTAGATTTAATTTATACTTTACTTTCCAAAGTACAGTTATGTTCTTTGTCATTGTAAAATGATGAGCAGATAACTTATTATTTCTTAAATGTTTAGATTATACATAGGGATAGTGGCTCCATCCTATGGTGGAAGAGAAACCTGCATCAGATCAATTAGGTTAGTTGCTATAGTGATACATATAATGTAATATTCTCTCCCTAGACATTCGGTAGATTCTCCAATGGAGAAGGCTGTGGAGTAGATTAAAGTAGTAAATTAGGCTGTTAATAAAGAAAGTTCACTTGAGTGTCTACCAAGGAGTTTGTTCACTCATCAGAAGCATCATTAAATGTAGAAACAGTCTAGAAATGCTATCCTGGTAGAAGAGGAAACTGTAATTCAGAGTTGCAGAAAGTATTGCATTTTCTGGATTTCAGATGCGTGCCCTACATAATTAATGAGCAGTAGGAGACCACACAGTAGTACCTACAATGAATTCCTTAAGTTACTGTTTTAATGTCGTGAAGGTACACTGAATTGTTTTTATTTCCCTCCTTTTGTAACTGGACTTTGCATTTTTTTTTTTCTTTGACATGTTAAGGTCAGTAAACCAATTGAATTTTCTGTGTTATCATAGCTGTATACTAACTACACGAAGAATCCAGCCGATGTGTTTTAGAGTCAGCATCTTCTCTTTTTCCTAGTGCATTTTTTTTCATTTGATTTGTCTGTAAATAAGGAGGTGCTTTTTATATGTAAATAATGACTTTTAAACAACAAATGATTCAGCATTAGTGAAACTGTGGCTGTTAGGAGCTTTTGATTTTCCATATTTTATACTGTTTCGTAAGTATAAGAAATAGAACATTACACCCCTGTGATATTTTGCTGTTCTATTAATACTTTTAAGGACAAGCAAGCAGTTTATTACGTATTTATTTATTTTGAAAGGCTATATCAAAAACAAGTAATTGGAAAGTTCAGTTTCATGTTTTTAACACTGTGCTTGGAAGAGAGCAATATGAAGCTCTGGTGATGAACTTCTGACTTATTTATTTTCATTTTACTATCAAAATGCAAAATATTTCCTCTAACTCAACAATTCTGCTTTGTAAGTGCAAGTTATTTCATGAAAGGTAGGCCCTTAGCACAAATAAAAATGCATCTGAAAGACTTGGCTTGGCTTTGTACTGTTAAAAATGCAGATAATTCTTATCAAAAATATTACATTGATCTCACCTTAATTTGAAATTCTGCTGTTACATGTTGGACACTGCTCGCTTGAGAAATACCTTTAAACTGTCCTGTTCTGTAATTATGTAATTCTAGAAAGCAAAGGTTACTGTAGTCTTCAGGGCTTATAGTTTCCTTATACTGTTTGAGACTGCTATCAGGGATGAACACTAGCAGTGACAGCTGGACACTTCTCAAAGAGGCACTACTGCATCATCATCTGTAGGCTACTGAACAGTTGTTGCATGATAAGTCTCACTATTCGTTTGCGTTTTATGCAAACCAGTCTCCAGTGAGTGAAGGACTGCAGCTCCCATTGCTGATCTTATGTCATACATACCACTTTCTCTGTTTTTTACAAACAGAAAAAAAAATATCTATACAACTGGTCTGTAGTTTTATTAGTTTTTCTGCAAGAATTACTGTGCTTGTATTTCTCCAAAACTCCACAAGAGTGGAGATAATGTGACGTATAAAGCAACAGTTATAATTCAGACTTCTTTTAGTTTACGTCTACATCACATAATCTTTTACAACATTATATAAAGCCAAAATATTAAAGTTGTTTTGTTGTGTAATATCCTTGCTACACCTTTTTAGAAAGGTTTCTTAAGAAATAAATAAAATTAAAACCAGCACTTCAAATTTAGTGACCTCTACAAACTCTGCTGTTTGTCAGTGTAGTACTGAATCGACAGGGGGGTTATCTGGCTAATTCTCTTGTAATTCGTCCAGATGATCTTTATGTAGAACTCAGGGTGTCAACATAGGAAATGGTTTCTTATTGCCTTTAATGTTGAATTCAGCCTTTAAGGATGAGTAATCACTGTTTACAGTTCTGGAATGCATCCTCAAATTATGAAAGCTACAGCTTCCGTGCAAGTATAGCTCAAGTGATAGATACAGTGTAAAGCAGAGGAGGATGGAGACACT